CTATGTGAGTGGCTGGTACCTGGAGTTAAGGATTGTCATCTCGAGGCAGTATCTCTTCTTAAACAGTTGCAGATGATGAGCAGAAATTCATTTTCCTATCCGCATGAGTTGCATCCAAACAGTTCTCTTCCCAACATTGTGTGCTTACGCTTACTAGTCGACTTCGAAAGAATGTACCAGACGGTTGTCTCAGTCCCCATGAAGCTTCTAAATGGTACTTATCTTCAGTTACTTCCTGGCCGCAGTAGTCCTGTGTAGGCGTACTATAACGATCGTGCCTACGAGCGTTTGCTATCCATCTGAACAAATGAACATGTTTGTACTCTTGTGATCCGTGTGGTTTGTCTGGATGTTCCCACAGTGATCCAGTACTTGTCAAAGAGGCGACCGTTGATAACCCGCATGTCATGGGTTTCGAGTGAGGTGTCAGTGAGAACGCCTCAGAATCACCGGGCAATGGTTGATGCTAATTCAGTTGAGTATCGAGGAATATCCACAACTGTCCGTAGATTTTCAAAGTCCTCGGGGTTAGCCCTCCAGGTGGCGCTAATAACTTAAAGATCACGGGGAGCTCACGCGATTCTGCGGACTTTGACTGCACGAAGGTAGTTACGTTAAATAATGATTCATCATGAACAAAACATTGTAAAAATATCTGATTCTTTTGAAGTGAGTAATGTTCCTTTTTGGTATCTGTAAACGCAGTGACGCGACGTGATTAAATTACCGAAATGCAGTCCAGCAATTTAGGGTTCTTTTACTCAAGCCGTCCAACAAGCCGGCTCTGATGTTTCTGTGCAATTTTATAATCGTGACCTTAAGAGTTTAAAAGCCCGTGCTCCAAACCACTTGCCCAAATTCCTGCTCAAAACTGGCATAAATTTTGGCCCAGGGAATACTTACTCTTCTCTCAGGTTCACTGTGAAACACTGAACACATAATGTACAAATTAGCTATCGGATTAGCAGGAGTCCAAAAATGATATTAGTTCAATTTGGAATTTCCCTTTGCAACATCGGTATTCTTTTCCGATTCAAAATGACACGGGTAAAATGTTAGCTGACATGCCCGCTATCCGTCAATGATGCATCACATTGGCTTACAGAGAACAACCAAGCGTTGGTTTGACAATAGTTGTTTATTTGTTTGACCTCCGTTTTGAATCAGATGGTCAAGTTATGCTTTATTCATGTGACTAGAAAATAGTATACTTGTTTATCCCTGGCGCCTGTCAGTGTATGCTTTTTACAAACTGCAGTTACAATTGTTTGTCCATCCTATGCAAACTAAACTGGAACGATATGATGTCACACCCACTCGCTGATTTGGCCGGGCAACCAAACTATGGTATATGATGCACCATTCAAACCATCACTGATGTTTATCCAGGGAGCTGTCAAAGCATTCGAATTTTAAATGGTTTTTGTTTTGTTGGTCACGTGCGAATAAATTTATTTAATCTGACCACCGGTTCAGTTTTCCCTAACTTTTTATGATGGCCACCGAAAATCTGGAGATCGCCAAACCCTAAAAATTGGATTTTCTAGAGGAGATTGACGCCAAGACACAGTGGTTGCCCCTTAATAATTCATCTGCTACGCCTTTCTGCTTGACTGGAATGAGTGAATATTCTGGATTAAATAGCCCTCGTAACCCAGTCACTCGGCATGACGAAGCTTTTGTGTCAAAAGCGAAACGTTGCTCAGGAATAAATCTATCGGTCGTTACCAAACATTTCAGAAAAGGATAAGTATCCCTCCGTTTAGGTTGAAATTCCACGCCCCGATCCAAACAATAAACGGTCACAGATCTCACTCGTGCATACAGTCAAACTCGTCTTGACTTGTTTCTGCTAGGGATCCGACCTACAGAACTGAGTCAGTGGAAGCTTGCTTTCAATCCTTTCACCACCCGTAACATACAGTTGTATAACTCTTTTACACAATCTGTAGCCGTATTCTTTCAGGGTACTTCTGCATTCCGGCAACGATTGGTTAACAGAATTATCCTACCTTAATTTTGTGGGGGAGGAAAATTCAAGAAGTGTAGTAAGATGAACAAACCTACAGGTAAACACTGGCTTGGAGTTTTGTAGATATGTGCTCGTGCTGTTCTCAGCGGTGGATTCCATTGCCCTGTCATTTTCTTCCTTCTCTGGCAAAAGTGTATCTGGCTTCTCTAAGGGCAACGTTTACCGGAGACACTCGTGGTTTTTTGCATCAAGATCTTTTGTGTTTTTGTAGAATACGACGCTCATTTTCGGCTAAAAGTAAGAAGATCTATGCTGAATCCCACGTGTATCGTGAATTTTTGCCTCACATAGTTTGTCATACCGTCTTTCTGATTAGTCAACAAAATTGTATCATACCGTAGGTGGTTGCTGAAAACACGTCGGAAGCCACGACCGATTTCACAAGATATAAATTCAGCTGTGATTAATGTCAGTCAGCTATTGCAATTAAATCAGTTTTAAATTAGTGTATTTTACCTCTGTCATCATTTCTGAAGTGGAAGCCTCATATGACATGTTGGGCCATTATAAACTCCATAAGAATTGTAAGCTACATACAGAATGGCAATGAATTTTGTTCGTTATGACTTTGACGGCAAAATTCCAGTGATAAATACTGCAGTCTAACTGTGAAGACAGTTATTTTTAAAAACAGCGTACTCACTATATTTTAAACGAAAGCACCTTAACGGCAAACTGCTAACTCTTTTGCAATGAGCTCACTAAGGCCCATACTGTCCACCTCCCGTATTCCAGCTGCTTTTCAAATGTGGTTTAAAACTTTCCTCATACCACTGTAGTCTCCAAGGGCAATCTGCCCGAAAACGGCTGCTGATATAATTTCTGTCACCGATTTATTCTGTGGAGAATCAAACAATCCATCAACAATGCTGTGTTGCAGAGGCGTCCTCGTCCTCTTGCTGGTCAAGTGCGCGCCTGTGTTTATATCACTTGTTAATATTACAGAGCTTCCAGTGCGCACCGTAAGTTATCTTTCCTAAAAGGCAGCCACAGACTTGGTGGTTAATTTTAGCCTCAGCATGTTGGAGGCTTCTTATCAAGATCATCCGAAGGAGTGGTGATAATAAAAAATTTTGTTCACGAAGTCCAACGAAGACAAAGCATACCTTATCTAACGCAATAAACTGCTTGTTGGAGTGGCAATCAGTAATTCGCACACTCTCATAAAATGTTACTTTAGATAGTATCCCCTGATCAATCTTCTCTACGGTATATGTGGGTTCCATCCTTTAACCAGTTGGTCTTGTTAACAAGAATGTCCGTTTCCAGTGGCCTTCAGAGCTATTTGAAATACGTAGGTTCGTCTTTCCAATCTCTAGTGATCAGTATTGAGACTTTAAACTGTGCTAACTGATACATATGCTAAAACCTTTTGCAAGTTTCTTGGGGCAAACATTGCTAACGAGGCCTAACCATGACTGCACGTTTCACTGCATTCCGTTGGGAACACTGGGTAAATTTAGAATTATAAACTTGAGTTTGGCAAAGTGCAAGGTCCTGTGTATCGATTTCAATAGCAATAAAAATAAAATCAGAGGTCGTGCGGCGCTGGCATTTTTCTCAAACCCATTGGTTTTTGTTTCGAAATGCGAACACATGTAAACAGGATTTAAGGAAACAGACTTCGTACCATACTTATTAGAATAGAGTTATTATTCCCAGTTTTTTTAAATTTCACGGACAGCTGAATAAAAACCAAATAACTGAGCTTATGTTGATAACAGTTGTGAGAGCCTTCTTGCCATGTACCTTTCGACTCAATAGAGTTGATCACTTTAATGTAACACTTAGTTTGACGAAACCGAGGTTACTGACGCCACTTCTTAGCATGACTGACAAGCATGCTGCAATAAATTCAGTTTAAACCTTAATAAAGTCTCTTGAGGAACACGGACATTTGGAAGTTGCTTGGTGATTTACTGAGGCAAAGGATGCTAAGCTAACCCTAAACCGAAAGCACGAAGCCAAAGTAAACAAACATGTGACGATAAAAAAAATAACAGCAATGTTCGCGTTTAGTGTGTAACCTATGGACTTGCACGAATTCGTAACACTTTTGCAATACACAGAGCGTATACATAGTTATGGATTGAAAAGGATTTAATTTTACCTAAACGCCAAATGAATTTTCATAGGTTCCAACCTAGAGTCAAAATGGGGCAGACCTGATAAGTAATCCACTATGCATTCCCTTTGGATTAGGATTCACGAATTTAAAGTAAAAAGATGTGCCTTTTATCCTTTTGGGTCATAGTTTCAATCACCTGAAGCGTGACTACTAACCGACGCTGAAAGCTTGACGAATACAAGGTTGGCTGGTTCCCTGATGTTGTCCATGAGTTGAAATCTTGAGAGTAGCCAAGCATTCTTTTTAGCATTTTACACGACCCTTATGAAACTTTATAACTTTGAAAACTAGACATTGATTTTAAGGGTAATAAAGGCATCAAATGCTTTTAAGTACCCGCGGCTTATGACCACCACATCGGATAGACTAAATCACAGGCACTATGTGTGCAAGTGTGGTTAGTGATGTATGGTGCTTTAGCAATTGGTGAAACTTGGACAGGGGGACACATGGTTGATTCTCTGACGTCCGTTTGACAGGTCCAATATCGAAAGAACGCACAACGCATTGCCATACCAGCCCGCTCGATTAACCTCTTCAGTTCCAGGTGCCATAAATGTGGTATCTGACAGATCCTTCAAGGGATGATGAAAAATTTAGAGATAAGACTCGACTGCACTTAAATCGTCAAATCCGCTCATGGCTGATGCTGAGACATCAAATTCTCTTTTGACAAATTTTGTCGACGGTGATTCTCATTGGAACTTCTACTGGAACTTCTGCTCGTTTAAATGAACAAGGCTGATGATGGGGCTGATATTTTCAACACAGATCACATGTTCCGACGCGTAAGTGTCATGTCATAATAATGTACTTGCTATTTTGCATAATATTTTCCAGAAACGTTGAACAACAAACAACGGACGAAAATCACTTCTGTTCCAGTTTCAAAGGGTCCAAATTGTCTCAGCGAATATACCAAAGTTCGGTCAGGGAATCCACCATTTCAGCTGCATTCTCCAGTATTGCCGAATGCGGAACTATACAGTTGCCGGAATACCGCCCTGGCCCGTTACCGATACAGAGCCCTATTCCTTTGGAGCTGCGCAAGAAGCTACCTCTCCATTTGAGCGAAGATACAAGCCAGTTCACAAATCTATCGTCTTCTGTCATTTTATACAATCCAAACACGGTTTCATGCTCCGGTGTCCATTTGACGGCTGCGCCTTACACAAGGGTGTCACCCTACTTGATGTTGGCATCTAAGCAGCTCCAAGTACTTGCTCAGCCTAAGGCAAAGAATGGTGCCGATTCAGGTAAGTACAGTGGGCAATGTTAGTAAAGATTGCTCTGCATGATAGTCTAGCTCAGTCATCAACAAAAACTGTAAAGGGATTAAGTAAACGTGTCTCAGCTTGCTTCAAATATATTTTCTCCGGATATGTAACAAAATGAAATGTTGCTGGGAGATAGACTACCGATTCATATCGAAACCTCATTACTTACAGCAAAGCAACTGTAACATTTCTTTCCCATTGTTTGGATTGCAGTCTGCTATTTAATCGGATTTTCATTGGTTAATGGTCGGGTGCATATTGCGCACCGCATTCATTAATTGGGTTCAGCTTCGTTTCCAATGTGTGTCAGTACCGCGGAGGAATGATTTCTGTTCACACTCTCTGCGCCTCAATACATTATCAGGTGGGCAGGTATGTAGGTTTATGAAATTTACTAGCGTATCTGAATTAATAGCCCAAAAGTGGTATTGATTTCTAAGGAATTGTATCAAATGCCAGATGATACGAACGTTTTTTTGGTCGAAATGATGAAGAGAGGCCATAAAAGTTGCGGACGTAAAGCAAATGCTAGCTGAACTGGACATGATGAAGGGGCATTATACTGGAAGAAAAGTAGTCATGGTACTACTGAAGGAACAATGACTATACTCTGGAGATACATCGCAACTATGTGTTTCGACTACGTAAACCGTTTTGTGGGTTGGAAGACGCTGTGCGGGAAAGTGCTACCAATAATTGGCTGCCGGTAAACTGATTATTTTGCAAGGTGGCTTTTTGAATAGATTCCTTTCTTCAGGAATTGACACATCACGAACTCGCATCAAAAGCAACAGTGAAGCTAAAAACTAACCCTGACATTCAAACACCATAGATGGGTAAAACTAAACAGAAACGAATCAACGTTTCCAGGTTTCTGGAGATGATAGTCCCGTTTAAGATCGGTATTGTGGCGGAGAATTTGCATTCTGCTTTTGATCACTGTTATTTCTAATCAACTGTCCAGCAGTGCAGGTGTATTTTCTTAGAAAGTAAAGATTTGCGTTCGAAGACAGCTTAATTTTCTTTTCTAAAAAGTTCAAAAGTCTTCGGAAGCTCGATCTTATTCCGTCTAAAATGTTTGCCATTAAAAACGTTCCCTGGAATCCTCGTCTAGAATAGATGATGCACCTTAAGTAGTGAGAAAATAACATCTGTTTCATTTAAGATTTATTCATAACGTCTTGCTACTCGTAATCCTACTTAACTCGTGACTCACAGTTGTTATCAGCGTCATTGGCTGACGTGTGCTGGCGTGTTCATATGAAGCTAATCGAACCATTGCATCAGACCTGCTCAGGATGTCAAATATTGGAGTCGTCTGGAATGGTTGGGAAAAGCTATTAAGTGGGAAACATCCAATTGATGTCCATTATTTCGTGTTCAATTCTGTGCGCACTCAACCATCAAAAAAGTTGTTTGTTTTGTTTTATGGATTCGGCTCCACTGTCTACTGAATTCCTACTTCGAGGTGTTTTTTTTCATAGCAAAGATTATCAATGCGTTCTTATCGGGGAAAAAGCACGGTACAGAGAAACTGAATCTCGCGCGATTAAAACCAAATATTTTCCTGCAAATCCTATGCAAATTAGTGCCACGAAATTCAGGATATGGGCGAACCAAACCGTGGAATTTTATGTTTAGTTTTTTGGCGAGACCGAGAGGTCTGGATTATAATGCAAAGGGTTCCCTGATGAGTTAGCGGTTAAAGAAGACCACAGTTGACGTCAAGATGCATTGCAGATTAAGAAATACGATGACGTTGTTTTTAAAAACCTACAAACAGCACTAGTGATGATTTTGACCGGAGAATATATCCCGGTTCTGCCTAATGAATTTTCGCAGTTTTTGAACTCGTGCTAGAAGTACGCCAGTTCTTGAATGCTACCTTATCTGCGCTTTGACTCACAATAACAGTCACATTATCCGGGTGGTTTTGTAACCGTTTATCTTGTCTTCCGATGCATACGACCAATTTTGAGGAGGTTATGTTCTTTATTTTTGGGCAGCCAGCTTGAGGGTCAAGTGTGGTTATCCTCTGCACTCCAAAACATGTAAGAATCTTCAATCTTTGTCTCATCACCTCTCTGGCACCCACTGGACATAGTACATGCACCATGAGCAAGATCGTCTAAGGACCATTTATGGTTCGTCCCATTTGGTGGTCTTTAGAGATGGCATCCAAACTCATGATATGGAACTTATTTAACGGTTAAGTGTTTTCGATTCCCAGAATAAAGCATGTAGCCCATTGGGTGAATAAAATATAAACCGGCAGTGTTTTGCTTTCAGACCCATGTGCGCACACTGTAACAACCGGTTTTTCGTTTACTACTTACGGGTTAATCTCTCAAAATAAAATTGAAAGTTTCACTCAAGGACTTCAGAGCAAAATCTTCCGTTTGATTGGGAATCTCCCCTTCACAACTCAAAATCTAATCCAATACTACCAGTAAGGCAAAGCAAGCGCAATGAACCAATTGAGAGATAGATTTAAAAATCCTCCTTAAAATTGATCAAGTTAGTAGGAAATGGTTTTTACCAGCTTTTCCTTAAATTGGCTAACAGTGTCCCTGTCACCTAGTCTGAAGAAGATTTTAGTTAAAAAATGTCGGCCATAGGTGAAGTCATATATCATGCTCCAGGAATAAAAAAATGATAAACATTTAGAACAAACAATAAATATTTTGAAAGTATTTGGTCTCCACTGTAAGAAATACGCTTGATATTTTGTGTTCATCACCCAGAGGTGTGTGTACTTGAAAGTGAGGAACAGGATGACTTTAAAAATGCTGGTATTACTGTTAATGAATTTGCTCCTTAATTGCCGAGCCGTAGTTAGGTTGAAAGTAATACCGATACATCCCAGGTTTTCGCACCGGTCAGGCAGACTAAAAGCGGTAATTTTTTAATCATCAGACTACGGAGCACAAGAAGATTAGATGTTGTTTTGTGTCAAACTTGTATGCCGATGTTTCATGGCTTGATACAATCAGTCTTCCTTCCAGCGCGTTGAACAATCTTTAGGGGGAAACTAGAGATTCAGCTGGGTTCCAGGTGAGTCTCTCGCAAAAACAAATTAGTTTGCGAATGAATATACATCGCTAATTTCGTGCAATTTGGTTTCAAGCAGAAGATAAGGTTGAAGGAAACTTGTGGACTGTGCCTATCTAATGAGTCCCGAGAAAAGCGAAACCGGTCGTGGGCTGTAGGCGGATTTTCAGCAACCTTATAAAAAGTACATGACGAATATATATGTCTCGCGATATCTCGAATATCGTAGCGAGTGAAACATGAGGTGGCCTGGTGCAGCACATTCAGTTGCATGGAAACACCACAAACGAGAGATTCAGCTGGGTTTCAGGTGAATCTCTCGCAAAGCCAAATTAGTTTGCAAATGCGTGTACTTCACTAATCTTTAGGGGGTTTTATTTGATAAAATCATCATGAGAACATTCTAGTGCTGATTATCCTCACATTCAGAACCGTAGAACAGAATGAGATTTTCACACGGTGACGCAAAGCCTGAAGCCGTTAGAACGTAATGAATTCAGGGGAATATACTAGATTTTACGGCGCTACAAAATAATTTTCATGAACACTTATTAGGAAAAGTTTCTGTTTATACGGTGACCAGAGATCAAACACCACCACTCCAGGGGCTGCAGACTGTCAATAGCAGCAACTGTCTGCAGGGTCTTCATCCATAATTTATGTTGAAATTTCCAACCGATATCTATGTAGAGTATTACACTGTTTTCCAGTGTGCAACAAACTGTTTCCCACGTTCCACTAGGAATTAGTAATACCAGCCAAGATACCCACAGCCTGTCGGATGCTACTCAGTCAAACAGTGGTCTGCGTGTGGGAATAGAAATAAACAAAGCTTTCCAAACATTAGAACTGAATGCAAACGAACCGAGCATGAATTGCAGCTATCTCGACTGTCAGAGGCCAGGGCCAGGTGGGACGAAAAGCGCTTGCTCAAAGCACCGTATCTGCTCGAGGAGCTCTACTTCCAGTTCTACCGATGGAATTGCTTTGGCCTACACAAACCAGGTTGCGCTGGATTCGAAAACTGAAACGTCAGATAGCGAAACCGAAGACGAAGCCTTGGAACTTGAAGATATGCGATACATATCAAGTGAAACAAGGACGAACTGGAGGTCTCGTCTCGTGTTCCAAAATGCAACCAGTGCAAATCCATTGAGGTAACTTTCTTTTGAGTGGTTCCAGCCTATTTGTAATCCCTTGAGAGTGACACATCATTCATTCATTCACTGAGGGAAAATTAGTGAGTCCAGCCTAAAAATCCGGCTATTCCTTGGGGCTTCGGGGAGCCTCCATTATCTAAAAACCATTAACTGACACGCCCTGCTGTATTGAATAACGAATTACAGTAGAATCTGTACACCAACTCGCGCGACAACACAAGTAATTTCCTGACAAGTATATCTTGTGGTTTTCAAAAACTTGAGTTGCTCACTATGTAAGCGCACAGACAGTCAGCTACACAGGATACCATCTCATGATTGCAAACTTCTAGTTTCCTGTTTAATGGAACTTTATGACAGACCTGGGAGACTAGTCTGATATATTTTCAAAAGAGAAGATAGATCCAGCTGGGCGCCTGAGTAACGCCAGCACGGCAGTTTAGCTAACCTATACCGTCTACTAACACCATGTTGTTAAAAAAACTCGAATTATTTTCGGGCAGATGTCTTGATTAAGGTGGGAGGTTACAATGGTTCCAACAAACCACGTACCTAGTCTTGCTTACGTACACAAATTATTCATATGCGTTTTTTAAAAAAAACTAGCTTAGACGCTGGTGCTACAGTCTCTACAACTCAGCTAGTTGGTCAAGACAGTGAGGATCTAGACTACGTCCGGATTTTGACATAACGAATTCCACCTATCTTCTTCACCACCTTACATTTTATTACAAAAACACCACATGCACGTCAAAATGCATTCAGTTTTGAATCTTTGGTATGTAAGCCGATTAATCCTTTCTGACGCTGTGGTTGGAAATAATGTTGGTAGCGGAGCAAGGACACTGCTCTGGATCTTAGCTGCATGCCTTATGCTTGAAAGGTCATTAACTCACATTCGGTACATGAGGATGACTAGTTGTGTAGCGTGCTACAACAGCGATTGAACAGTACTCATGCTTAGCTAGGCAAACCACCATCAACAAGTGCCTACTTCGACTCAAGCTTGTTTACACTCAGCTGTAATTTGGATCACTTTTCAAAATCGCTGGGAGCCAACCACGCTAGTCTAACGAGAAATAATATAGGTTGGATTGACAAACAGCATGGCACTCTAAACTAAGAATTCCTACCGAATTCAAAGTGAACGAGGAATAAAACTATGGTAGGAATGTAGTGGCCTAGATAGTTGTGGCATGGGCTGAACAGTAGAGAGGTAAAACTAGATTTATACATGACCCTCTATGCTACAGTTCTGCGAGAAGAGGGCAGATGGTTAACGGGGAATGCTTTTGCTTACCTAATGTCACCGTATGCTTCGGGCTAGTACTATATTTACTCAACCTAGTTGTTGAAAAAATCAAGTGGAAATATTAGCGCAGGACGCCAGTCATTCATGACTCAGTCAGGGGAAGATGATCTAATTGGTCGACCACAAACAAGATTTTATCAATCCATGTTATTATCAAACCCGACGGCACTGTAAGCAAACGCACCTTTCACTAGCTATCTTGAGGAGTTTGGAACGTGGTTTGTCCTGTTTAGAAACAGGCTTATTATACTTTACAGTCTCAGGACATCCTAAATATTCAGCCACCGAATAAATGTTAACAAAAATAAGCGTATCTTCTGTGTCTTGCTTCGTGTAAAAGCGCTGATATTGGACCGCAACATTTACTGATGTGGTGGCAAATTGAATCGCTACAGGTTTCGCGTCTTTCAAACAGTCGTTATCAGAAACTGTTCGGTCCAGCTCCATAAATCGCCAAGCATATATAACATCATTCACACTGGTATTACACGGACAATTAATCCTAAAATGTACTGCAGGAAAAATGGAAATAACTCGATATTTTAATCTTTACCGCTGGAGTTATAGTTTGACACACCCTGGACACTCATTCCCACGCAATGTTTAGGGGTTGGACTCACACAATCACAGATCTAGGTAACACATGATGCATTCATTTCTGTGTTTATCGAGTACACGGATAGAAAATTGGGAGTATCTGGAAAGCCTTTCAGACAGAAGAAGCGTCCGCCTAACTTGGTGACTCATCCGCATTAAATACGTGGGTTGTTTCCTTTTTCACACTTCCATCATACACGAGGAATACTAAAACCATCCCCCAAATCCAACACGCAAGCAAGCGAGTTCGCTCAAATATGCTACTGATATAATTCAAGGGAAATAGAGCATTTCTCAATACCCGACAAACCTAAAGTAACCCACAAAACAATATTTCGCTTAAATATTAAGCAATAAAACTGTATCAATAAAATGACTGTGAATATTACGAACACGAAACCAAGATATTTTGAGGGTCACCCTTAGGTATTTTTGGCTAATTAAGCAGCTATATTTTAATATTTTTTATCTATAAATAGCGAGACCAGTTAGTGTTATGCTTTGCGTGAAAATTATACACAGTGCTTTCTAGTTAAAGGAAAAAAGTGTCAAATGGATATTTTGAGGTTTTGTTGAAAAAAGCGCACAGCAAGCACTATTCCGAGCATCTAATTTGTCAAAAAACAGTTTTTAAGACATCTTGTTATTCGAGCAGATGTATTGTATTCCAGACTAGCTTCACTAGCAATGGGGACTGGCCTCCTATAAACTTGGTTGGACTGCTCTAGTTACAGGTTGAATGAATAATCACATTTCTGGTAAAAAAAGTTCACATTCTTGCCATATCTTGTCACCAATATCCGGTACACACTGAGCGTACTAAAAAAAATTACGCTGATGCCATCGAAGAATTTTAGTTGCCTTATAGTGCTTCGTTGATGGGTTATGTCCTAACCATTCAGTTCACCAGCTGTGTTCGCCAACCAGAGGAAAACCATTGTGTCAACAACTCTAGTTGGATGTTCGACGTAGAACACACCCAATTAGTGGCCGCTTATTTATTATTTTTTACCCGAAGCAGTAGAGTGGCGAACAATTTGCCCAGCCCAATCAGAATGGTGAGGTCACTGGCAGTGGCAAACTACTATCGGTGTAGTGGATGTTTCGTTCAGGTGTATCAGCAAAAGTACAAGATCTAGCTGAGGATAGATTAGGTTTTGTCAAGTCAACAGAAACTGTTTCTTGCAAAGTACAAGGGTGACTTTGGAAACCGATTTTTGTATCACGTTGATGCTAGGTGCAGGTTCCCTGAAAAGTGAATCTCCCTCGTTTTAAATTATTTGGGCATCAAACAAATCCTGTCTCTTCAATTAGCTTCAGCTTGTCAGGAAGCGCTTTATAAACTTATTTGTTGTTACTGAGCCTTGTTCAACATGAACGAACTACGAGCCCTTGCAATGGTTGAATGATAACTTATTACGACGCTGAGCGAAAAATGCACCACTAAGTGGCTTTTATAAAGCCAGGTCAACAAACCAGAGAAGAGGAGCTTCAAAAAGGACACAAGTGGTTCCGGATAAATCGCTCAGTAACATGAACGACTGTATTACTTATTTAGCGTTTGTATAAACATTTCGCAATTTGCTGATCAAATTTTTCCAACAATATCCATGACACTTTTTTGAAGCTACAACGAGAATCTAGGTAATAATATGTGATTGTTTCCTTGAAAATACTTTTTACAAAAGCAGTTATTGCCTGACTTTTTAAAATCATTTCTAGTAATATACGTAGGGCTACAGAAATATATATGTGAATTCATTTTGATAACCGTAGAATTATGCTATCCTGTAGAGTAAAAAGTCCTACCAGGCATTGTTTATTTTCGTTCGCACAGAATTTTTGATATCCACATCCTACTTTATGCTATATAAGGCGAGGCATTTTGTGCATCGCACCTTTCAGAGTCCACATAATCAAGGTTGGCGCCATGCTGTACGTTCTTCTGTTGACCGTTAGCTGCTATGTGGTTATCAAAGATGGGACAGCACCCGGAACCTCATTAAAAACAAATCGTTACACTGGGGTAAGTTTGGAGCAACTCATGTTGGATTCTACCAGGTGTGAAACATTGGCATGGTGTGCCTTGTTTACTCGTTTAGTTTAGTTAATTTACCTCATATTGCATGCACGTTTTTTGTTCTTTAAAGCCCTTGTGTTTTCTAGTGGTTTGAAGCGTTGTTCTGCATGAACTGTGGGGCTGTCTGCGCATAAACAGGCGTTTTCAGTGAATTAGTTCCCAGAACCTCCTATAAGGTACATTGCCAAGGCACCCTAAGAAAATGTGGTGTGTCTAGCCCAGGGTCTAGTTTTTGAACTGTTTAAGGGCTAAAAATGAAAATAATTTATCAAGCAGTTCCGGTTGTTGATAAGTATTGACATGATCACACTATATACGTATATGGCAAAATATATGGGGGTAAGTTTCATGCGAGCCTACTGCCGCTTTGTGACTTTCTGCATTTCGAAATGATGATATCAACGCGCATGGTCAGCGACGATAATCGGATGGTACTCTTTTCAGCCTCAGTCTGTAACCCTAGATGGTGCCCATACAACAAACCGACAGAATCGTCTCCTGCTTAAACAGACTAAAAGAAAGAAAGCCTTTTTAAGCTTTGTAGGTTGGATAGGCGTACGATTCGTGGCTCGACAATAATTTTTATAGTTTTGTGCTGTGGAATCAAACTGCTCCGCAGATAGCGTCGTCTTCAAAGGGGAGCATTCGACAACATATTACCAATAAATGTCTCATAGGACTCAATAATGAAGTCATTTCCGACCCTTAAGCCTTAATTTATGTTAAACGCTGATGTTCGTACGAGTATACTCTGCAGTAATTCAAGGTATTCACATAGCAGGCTAATTTGTTAGTATCCCAGCATTGCTTTCATACAGGTAAATTTTCTCGTCGAAGCATGGCGCTAATTTTAACCGGCTGGATAAGAAATTCCCAGTAAGCAACAATACATCGGTGAACACAACAAAACAAAGGTCACAACACAAACGTAGGAATAAATACACATCCAGTCACAACCGATTACGTGATAGACAGGAGTGGATAAGATACATTTGGAGTAGAGGTGGAATTCGATTTCCTGAGCGAACGACAGAACGAGCCAGTAGACAACAGACATAATCGTTTTGACGGATTAGCGAAGCAATCCGTCAAGGTAACGAGAAAATGCCAGGTTTCGACAAAGTAGGCAAAAACCCAATCAATGAACGATCAGTTGACTGAGAAATTTTACAGTAGAACTGCTACATTTTTGGGGAAATTTTGTCGAGTAGATGGTTCAGAAGTGAGATTATTTCCAGATGTGTTCGTACAAACAGCTTATGAGAGCTGTTCCTAGCAGGGGACAGTGAATTCTGTTACTTTATTTCTTATCAATCTGATTTTTACGGATAAACAACCATTTGGGTTACACGTTGTCAGGAATTTCAAATAGTATTTGGCCTTCAAGGGATAGTTTATTCCATATGTTGGCGGCAGTTTTTGTGTACTACTACACTTGATCTAGTGTTTCACTTGATTACTTTCAGTGATGTGTCCGGGTATTTTTTACCTGCTTGCTCAAAGAGAAAAATTAATCATGCGTTCTTTGTATGTTATTGTTTCGTACTCGCCATGGTTATTTATGACAAACCGTCCACGGTGAATTTCCTTAGGGAGCTCGCATATTTTAAGGGCTTCTTCCTACTGAACTTTAGGCAAAATTGAGCGCACCTTCTTCGTGACAGGGCTAGACCGTGCTAGACCGTGCTTCATACAAGGCGCACAAATCCAGCATCGTTTTGTTGCAAGATGCAAGTGTCTGAATCGTGCCAAGCGAGCATCAGAAACTAGAGGGTGCACCAACTAAAGCAGTGCATCCGAGCATGACTTGCTGGTTGTGTCAAAATGAAACGGGTCGATCAAAAATGTGTTCTGTCAACTCTTATACATAAACCTTAGTCAGATATCGCCTAAAATACCGCTATTATATGGCATTGTCATTTTTTTCTCAAATAAAATGCGATCCTCTGTGGAAGGCTAAAACCAGATTTTCCCTTACCCCGAGTGCTTTATCAGAGATAATTTAAGCTAAAGAAACGGCCCTGTGGATGTAACTTAGCGTTGCATCAGTAAATTTGTTCAAACCATGCGGAGTTGGATAAAAAGTTGGTTAAATCCTAGGCCCTAAATTAGTCTCACTTTACTGCTGTCTTCTACAAACGCAACAGAATTGACGTGCATAAAGCCATCGAACAGAATGGCACAGAATAAAGTTTGTATTTTGGAAGCCGGATCGATCTTCATGACAGTATTTTTATACATCGTGGATGTCCAGTTTAGGGACCATCTTCTTTTCCGCTGTCTTGGATCTCGATTCAGATCTGTCAGCATTCATCCTCGATTTTCACTTCATGTATTTAAAAAAGAGGTCGGCGTAGTTTGTATGTGACCGTCAGATTGCACGTATATGAGGATGAGCATTCAATTGTACAGTTAATTTGGTGAACAGTGGGACAACACTGTAATGGTGACCTTTAATAAACCTAAAAATGGTATGGGGCACTTAGTGAATTTTACCAAACTTATAACTGGTGTTTAATAAGCCGGAGGAAACTATCCACATATAATGAAACCTGGTCTGAATTTGGCCTAGGTTGTTCGCTGTTCTGAACCTTTGTTTGAAGAGCCACTCTTTGGTTGTATCTAATTTTTGTTCGACTCAGTCTTTAACAGCACATATAGGCTGCTACAGCATATTTTCAGAAGACCTAAAGTTTCCATTCTGACCTCAACAGTGCGGTTTATTTTACAGCTGATAGCTACGCCGAACTTTTGCATTTCAACCAAACTCACTGGGATACAAGCTGATTTATTTACGACTATCGGGAGCGCTAGCTCACTTTCGTTCATAAAGCTTGTTTGTATTAGAGCACGGATTAGTGCAGTCCACCCAGAACCTGAAGAGTCGAAAAAGACCGTTTATTGAGGTGAAACGAGGAAGCAGATTGCTGGCAGTCAAGGGATAATAGGTTATTGTTTATCCTCGAGATGCACGATAATTAAGTGCTCACCAGTTTGTTTATGCTGAAAGAAATAATTAAATTACATCATCTCACGTTTTCAGGCCTAAGTGGAATTAAGGGACCCGATTCTGCTGTCGACAGAATATGTCGCAAACAAGAAATGATTGTAAACAAATAAATTGGAGAATAAACATGGGCAGGTTTCATCTCCATCACAATAGATCTCAGAAACAAGCAATTTTTACCATGTAAAAAGGAAATCCATTGTTTGAGGGTGTTTGCACTTAAAATTACTTTACGGAGGAGATATTATTTCGAAATCTGGTTGTAATGCTAGAAAAGCGATAAATTGCTTAGTAGAGGGTGATGTATTTTGGCGCACAGAATCATGGGAAACAGAGTATCAATTCAGTGTGTAGTATAAATGGTCAATAATGCACCTGTAAGCGAAAGGTGTAAATGTTCTTCAAAAGATTATTTTGTCTATTAGCACAAATGTGGTTTGTACCACAACTCTGATTACTGTGAAGAAACTACATGCCACAAGAACACAAATAGTATCTTTCCAAAACACTACATTTGAGGCTAGCGGTAGAAAATTACGACTGAAGTTTCTGAACCCGCCGGGGATGAGTTGGGCTGTAATCTCCTGGCCAACTGCCAGCTTCCAACTACCAGCTTTAAGGTGGCTCTTCACGTGGGTCCTTACTGCTGTCTTCAAGCGATACAAACGGTGTAGCGCAGAAAACAAGCATTGATACGTCCATAACGATCAAGAAGGTTGATGGAATCATCCGTCTCAATTCAATCCTTCTCCTGAAATTTATGATAGGAATCAGCACATGTAAAAAACCAGTGACCGAATTGTCTGCCAGGGATATATATATATATATATATATATGTCGGCTAAATCTTCTTAGATTTTCTAGTAACTTCCCATACCTTAACAAAAGACTTCGAATTGTTCCTAGAAACTGTGTTAAAAACAACTACACGGGAATATTTATCAGGCTTCAAGGTGAGGTACAGTTACAAAGGAAACTAAAGAATTGTTCCATAAGACAGTTACCGTCTTTATTACCTCCATTCAATTGTGATATATAATCAATAAAATCAAGATTCCAAAACTTTTCACCGCGAAGGCTCGATGGATTTCAAATGAGAGTGATCTCGTGCTCTTAAGGCATGCCCCCTGGCAGTTCTACAAATACTTAAAATCACACTGTAACGAACGCCTTGGTTTTTGTTGCTGAATCACTGAACGGACAACTGGTCAACAATTTCCCTCATCGACTAATTGACATGTTTTCAAGAAAGACAGTTCCGCTGACACCGGGTGTGTTAAATTACTGATAGTTGCTACTAAGAGTTGATGAGGTTTTGGGCTCAGAGGAGTCCCACTGTCAGTTTACGCTTACACTGGGTTATGTACTTGAGTGACTTTTTACACACCCTTGCGTATAGCTTAAAAGTGTGGCAGCATTCGTTTGTCGCTTTTTGTCTGTGTTGTGTGCGTTGCGACTAGAACCTTTATGAAGTGGCACTGTATACTTTCCATTTGTTTTCTTTTTGTGCTGACTAGATGAGTAAATAAGATGCAATGTTTTTAATACCAATGTCCATTATATCATCAACAATTTCAAATCTATAAGTTGTGTGACATGTCTCCTGGAGTATTCAGTAGTATTAAAAGGTGATTTCGCTGGATCATTTTGTGGTTCATCAACCTCAGATACCGTGCTGTGCATAAGGGCACGAAGCTTATGTAACCTGTACACAGTTGTCTATCTTGCTCTTTCAAATCGAAAAAGGCCCGTCAACACTATTTTCGTGAGTATGTATGAGTTATTCATAAATATTTTGAAGAGTGGATACCCACCAGCGCTTGTCGGATTTACTTTCACTGGCCGTTTTGTGAAGGTAGCTAAGCCCCAACCCAAACCAACAATGGCTCGTAGCTTTCATACGAGCTAAATTAACAGTGATCTACACACCGGGTGTAGATTAGCATCAATCAGCAAAAACAATCTTGAGACTCTGCTGAATTGAACGTAACACAAATGATTCTAGCAAAACCGTGCCCAGCGAGCCTTCACTAGTACTTCAGTTGTGCTTCGAAAATAATAAGGGAATAAAACTTCCATGCAATCTGCAAAGCAGCAGCATTTTCTGGAATATTAAAATAAGCTAATTGGTTAGCTCCCATCCAAAGAGAGATCCATTCCACAGCATCCGACTGTGGCGTGAGTGTAACCGATTCGTGTCTCTATTTCTTGCGGTGAATACGCGTTATTCGAACATAAAGGATAAGGCGTGAATAAGACAACTGCACGCACGAGAGTGTGGGTTCCTTGTCCACAAACTCGTCAGGGATTCCATAGCTAGTCACCACACGTGCTGAGCGCACCCTAGTCAATAGAAGTATCCTCACCAACACAACAGCATTCGCTTTCTACGCGTGAAACATGAATGGTGTGGAGGGTGCCTTTAATTAAGTTAATTAGGACAAATTCCATCACTTGCACAAGAAGTTGGTTTTGAGGAAAGATTTATCCAAATCCAGCTAAATTTACAATTTATGAGCCCCAGGAAAGGCTGGACTGGTTATGGGTTGTCGAGGGGTTTTTAACAACCTAATGTGTTTAAGTTCATTGGTTTTGTAGTGTGCCAGTTCTGAGTGCATAGCATGATGCTTTCAGCCTACTTTGCACAGCTGGTGAGCATAGGTTTAGCCGGCTGTTATACAGTCCGTAGAGTTTTAGTGCATGAAAAATGGTTGTAACAAGGTATTGTTTATGGAAACTGTAACTAATGGGATTTCGAGTATCAAGAGCCAAGATGTCTTCCCGTTTATACATCATATACATTTGTGAGGCCTTCCGAATGGAAGGTTCCTTGAGGCTTCTGCCTATGGATGGGTACTGCGTCTTTGTCATGTGTGGTTCTAAGTGCCAGACCGGAAAATGGCGTCGAAGGCTAAGCACCAGAAACCAGCAGAGTGCAGGTCATTTTGGAAACAGAATATGGATACTTTTGGACTTCTCTGATGTTTATCCAGTGTTAATTTTCTTTTGATGGCTCCGATGAACGAGCCATATTCCTGGAATCTATTGGTAAGATGCGTTTTATCCTACTGTCAAATTAAACCATGTATTGCGCGGTATTCTCTTTAGGTGTAAGTTGAAAGCCATATACTGGGCTGAAACCAAGAGGCTACTCTGTACACAACCGCAGGAATATATTTAAAACCAGGAGGTTTCTTCTGTCTCTCCGAAGTGACCTGTTGCTACACGTGACGAACATCTATAAACAATACTACTTAATCATTGACTATCACTAACCACTCCTATTTTTTCAAATTTTGCACCCAAACGGCCATCAAATAATCAGCTCGCATTTGACCTAACCAGGCATGCATTCAGTTGCGAAAGTAGTTCTGGTCTGGAAACATGGTTTCCTCACGGTTTACCGGTGCACTACGTAATTAGTCAACTTTGTGCATATCAATCAGAATGTCATACGTCTCATACAATCTGTCTCCTGAATGCCTATTCTGCTTATGCCCCAGTAAATCTATACATGGTTACCAATCATGTCTACCGAGGCGTGAGAACCAAAATTTTTAATCCTATATAATCTCTTTACGTTTTGTGTGCATTGCAAACGAGAACTAACCGTGCTTTGTTAACACCGTCATCATCATCACCGTCATCATCATCATCATCATCATCATCATCATCATCATTATCATCACCACCGATATCATGGTATCAGTATACAACACCGATGTTTCACATCCGTATGTGAACACTGTACAAATCTAATAACAAAATAGTTTATTTACGATGATGATTTTTTAAACAAGTAGAAACTAAGTTAGCCGCTCTTCAGGAAGGAATTTCTTCATTTGTATTGATTGCAGAAGTAGGCAAATGTACAATTTATTTTCCGTCAACTTATTCAGATGAGAACCCTTCAATTTCGACGCGTAAGGAAAAACTACCTATTGGAGCCATTATCAAAGATACCTCACAGTTCGCTTATATGAAGGGTAACTGAGGCATGTATTTCATTTGCGGGCTTACTTCACTGGTGACAAGGCTTTCAATATATGCAAGGCTTAAAAACACTTCTCTTGATTGAACTCAGTCGCCTAGAAAAATTAAAGAACGTTTTGTTACCGTGACAGGGATGTGGCTAGTCGAAAGCCAGAAGAGGAATTATTGCGAATATGTTTACAAAACGCTTAGAATTTAAAATTTGAAACCGTTTTTTCCGAAGTAAAATACTTATTCTGGTAATCAGAAGATACACTTAGTATGGCTCTGTGGAACGGAAAGAATACCGAACGCTAACGTCTTAGTGTGTTTTGAAGAAAAACTGAACTAAGTCTTGTAGCGACTGGCTTACAAAGGCAGTAAAATAACATAACTTGGTACCGTTTTTTCAGGTTATTTTTACCTTCCTGGATTGTGGTTCCCTGTTGTTCATGCTGGGATCGCTGTTTCGCTGCGTGAGACTCAAGCCGAGGTTGTGGAATTCACTCAGACAGTCGAAAAGTCCTTGGAGACCAGCAGGAAGAACAAGCAGATCACCGTCTAGCCCAAAATCTCCATTTTCCTGGCCGGATTTTTTCTGTGGTATACTTCAGCATAATATGCAAACCTGCCCTAAATCTGCTTGGTTATCTACGACCACCGATGATTTGAAGGAAGATCCGAGAAATTTCCTCCATAAACGGAAGCATTCGGCGCACAGAAAGGAAGCTTTCATCCATTTAATCTTTATAGGTATGTTTCAAGCAAATTATCTTTATACATATGCAGAGTACATACATATAGTGATGGTTAAGCAGGGGGTGAATTATGTGAACACGTCTGAAGTTTTGAACGCCAAGAAAAAAGGCGATAGATACTAAGATATTCCCGGTGTGGCTAGTTAACAACTGTCAATATACTGTCAGGCGTGCTGTGAAATTCGTGTTTAAAAGTCATGCTCTTTGATATCTGTGTGGTTGCCTTAGGCTTTCTTCCTATGACCCACATTCGGACTAAAGTCTCGGTTCACGTGCGGTCCTTTGTATTTGAGTCGCCTTCACATAACAAACTAGATTAAACCTAAGTGCACAAATTGCTCTAAGAAACTTTGATCTGTGGTAGCATGTGAATAGACGCAGATTCAGCACAGCATCTCATCGCATGCAGGAGTTTTTGCAATATGCGCACTTTCTCAGGAAAATGATGGTAGTCAGATAATGCACGGAGTATGACAACGGAGTTGGGCTTCAGTTTATCCCATTCGCATGCAATTCTCGGAGTGATCAGAGAATGTCAGTTGTGTTTTTTATTCGGATCTTCAGTTTTATGCTGGTCTGTACAGCGCAAACACAGACACATTTGCTAGAATCACTCTTGCTCGCACAGTTCTTGCGGTAATCCAGGTTGGACACGTCACTTTTGCAGAACAGTTGTTCATGTATTTTGTTGTTTGTTCGAAAAGCGCTGCAAATGTTGGGGTTGGAGTGTACGCAACCAATGTTTCCAGATATGCGCTCCGGATACCGTTTTCGCACCTTGCCAATCCACTCGACCCCGCAGTCCGTTGAATGTAAGGATGACTGTAACACATTCCCGAAGAAATATGTTGGAAATAATTGCTTTGCGCTGTTTGCTGTAGTCTGGATTTCAGAGGAGACTGTGTTGCTAAACATCTTATTTACCTAGTGGACCACTTTGCAACTTACTGCGTCTGAACGATTCAGATGCAGGGATAAAAATTTAACCAGCATTAGTTTTTGGCAGACTGGTTCAAAGTTATCAAGGTTCCAATACATGTCACAAACAAGAGGCGCAGGCTTTTTGTTATGTGTGATACGTCGACGTGTTAAAAGCAGGTTCATCTAATATGTAGTTGTCGTAACAAATGTGCCACAGGCGTAGACAAACTCTGGGAGACCGTCAAAGTTTCTTAAGAGCAGAGATTCAGTCTGTATGGGGACTGAGTTGTCTACAGTAGGAGAGACGAGGGAAATTAAAACCAACTAGTCTGCACTCACGTTTGTCCTTCAAATACGAATTCAGTGGATTGTGAATATAATCTCAGACCATGTATAGTGTGGCCGTTCGTGACGTTGCTCGAGTGTGGAACATGCCTTGGTGAACGCTATCGACCCAAATATTACCATGTTATTATTATTATTATATCAATATAAAGGTAAACAATATTATCATCAAGAACGAAATCATATAAGAGCAGTTTCACTTGGCGTGCCCAAAGTATTGCCGCAATATATTGAAAAAATTTGCTGACGAACTAATGATTGTTTCTTTCAGCAACCGGGGTCATATTATGGTTTTATGTAGGCATTTTATGTCTAGGAATCGATGATATTCTACCCGCTAGGCTTTTGAAGCCTCAGTCGACCTGTTAATAAGTTTTACAGGTGAGCTCCAAAATATCTTTGACAGTACTGGGAGAGTTTAATCGCCGTGGATTGTTAGTTCATAAAGGAGGTCCTGGCGACTGTACAGCAGGTTTACTCAGCCCAACTGTCAGAAATTCTGGGCACCAAGCTTGGCGTGTATCAAAGGAACTACTGACTACAAAATTACCAGAGTGGTCAAACAAATCGCTTCCCTTTGAGTCCAAGTCTGGGAAACGAAAGTGTCTTCCCCTTCAAGATTTTACCGCTGCGTTTTGATGCTCAGTCAAGAAATCCCAGAGGTTCATAATACTATAAAAAACGTTGACCAGAAAGTAATGAGTTTTCTCACTTTGACTGGAGAGCACGTTGTAAGTCGTTGCTAAACTGTCATATTAGCTGTTCGAAAAAAATGCTCAGGGGCTCACCCTTTGCATCCACATGAAAGTAGGATACATACCGCTAGAAGTCTTTAAGCACGCATGCGCCTGGTTTACTAAAGAGTTTCTGACGCAATCTGAAAAACTAAATTTTTGATATTGGAGGATATAGAAACACATGGATGGTACAAATCGGTGATCTTATACACTTAGATTACTTCGCGTTTTCTCCTCTTACCACACCTGGATTACACCAGCCAGTGTTGTGTGGCGGTCAAGTAGAACAAAACAGCGGGTGTGAAGCGTAATCACAGTCTCTCAGTCCCTTGGACTGTCTATATAAGGCAATTTAACTAACTAATTGTAAGCGACTGTTAGACAGCATCTATTCATTCTTTCACCGTGCCTTCGAGTTTCTTTGATTGGCTATCACATAAGATTTATCGTGATTTTTTTCCGTTGTTTGTATTCATTTCATCATAATAAATGTAAAATATTTACCAGCTGCACTTTAGACGAATGTTTCTAATCGAATGACCCGTCAAGAGACTGTCAAAACGTTCCACTTTACTCGACCCAATGTCAGCGGTATTTCTTCCTAATTCTTTGAATAATATAAGCTGTTACAAATTAGACTGAGATTTTCTTAAAATTTGAAAATGGCGTTCACTTGCAGCTCCAGATAATTTTGCTCCTCGATATACAGAAGGTGTTCATTTCGTGTGAATGAACTTATTATTTAAATGAACGAATAGCACTTCCAGTCACTGCACAAATCTGCGTGCCCAAAGCCTTCAAATTAAGTAGGAGTGTGCTTCAGTTGCGTGAAATTTGACTAACGATTTCGTCTACCTGGACAAATGACAACAGGCAAAATTCACTTCAGGTTGAAAATGTCACACTGGCATTTTCTAAACGCTGAAGTACATATCACTGGGGACAAATAAAATGACCGTCGGATGCACCACAATAAATTGGTCATTTCTGTCTCTGGAATCAGAGGATTAGCTTCAACGTTCAGCAAATAAAAAGGTCTAGTATTTTAGCACTTTTGTTCAACCAAGGGCTGACATACCATAGTTGAAGAAAAGGAGAACACAATATAAAGGATCATTAGTGGATCCTTAAGTATAATGACAAATTGCGTACATGCCTTAGCCGTTCGTGATGATGACCTCAACAATGTGCAACTACGAGGACAAAAGCTCATTGAAACATGACTCACTGACATAGCCAGATCCAATCTTGCCCGCCTGATTTTAAATTAAACGTGTAACCGTCTAAACGAATGTCTTGCCTCAGTTCTCTATTTGCATCCTAATATCTTTGATCGGCTGCACGTCAGGCTGCACGATACAGGTTTTCAGATAAAATACTTATCTTTCCTGCGCCGTAGTCTCCGTTCGGTCGAAGTGTTGAAGTTGTAAACTCAAAATTTAATCGGCCAACTGAGTGACGTTCAGTAAGTTATTACGTAAGTGCCGACATTTTCGCGATGTTACGACGTCTCGATAGGATTATTATCGCAACTGCGTCTTAATAAGACAGTGGTCTGAGTGGCTTGAGAGTTTTATCCTGTAATGAATGGACAATAGTTGCACGGCCAATTATTCTCTGCTCAGTTGTGGTCTGACGGAGATCTCAGCAACGCTGATAGCCAAAACTGAACAGTAAATTCGAAACAAAACAAGAGATGAGATGGACAATGTAGATACCCTTGGTTGAAAATGTCTGAAAGGTAGGATTTAGCAACGGAGAGAAGGCGATGTTTTACAGTAGTGGTGTAATTGGAGTATGAAAATTAACGGTTTGCTTCATTTCATCGCCCAAGGCTGTCAGCAGCTACAATAAACGGCTAAAATGGAGGTGTCAAAAGATGCTAAGGAAACCATAAAGTTGGAAATTTGCGCAAAAGTAATGCAGGGAAGAACAAATACAGGTAACCCTGTTAACAATATAAGTACTAGAGGAAGGGCATATTCACACCAGGCGTGTCTGCTGCAATACGTCACATATATAAACTTATTTGTATCTATCTGTGGAACGCGCCTTGATCTACAAACTTCAGTATCAAGACTGAGTTGGAAAACATCTTTACAAGATTGTTATGTGCAACCCATACTGCAACAATTTTAATCCAACGTTGTCGATCCGACTTCCTTTCGTTTAACTGACGCATCGCGGAAACAAATTTCTCCGGAGGTTCCCACCTCTAAGTAAGCCAGGAGGCTTCGTCATGGGGACAGTTATATTTTAACTTTTTGTCAATGGTGCCAACAATTTGAAAGGCTCAGTCAATCTAGCTGAGTTGCACCGCCCAGCAGATCCTTTATCACTAGAACATAGACAAGGAGCCCGTTAAAGGAACTTACCAGAATATTTGAGCATCAAACGAAATTTCGGAAAGACAAGTGACACAACACAATTGTTCATTCGTTAAATTCTTATTTCGGGAGGAAAAACTAGTTTACTATACATATTTGTGTTGTGTGGGAAATCTGTATACTTTCACAGTGAATCACATCGTCATTATTACACGTTTCATCACTTACATGGAAGGCCGAGTGAATGTATTGGGCGTGTCACTCTCAATAGTTGCTCGCCTGGTTCAGCCATAGTTTTTCGGTATCCTTTGAAAAGACAGGTTTTTAGTATTTGGTAGGTTGTCGGGTTGACGCCCTATAAAACCCTTTCGCGTAATCTAGTAAATACTACCTATCAAATGGTCACTTAGTATCTGAATAAGTCTTCCAGGAAAGTCTTGCTATGAACAATGTTAATACTGTGTAGCGCGCGTTTCCCTTCAGTTTCTTTTGCTTTGGTGAGTCATAACATCAAAGCACATGCTAATCGGTTCGCTTCGTGGCCCACTCCGAAAGACAAATGTGGTGCCCAAATTGACGAGAAAAGATATATTTCATATTTCCGTTTTCCAAGCTACACGGTGCAAACACCTGACAAGTTGTAGAAATCCATGAATGATATAAAACATTTGGTTGAAACAGGTGCCTCGAGGTTGGTTACGCAAAAGTTTCCGCAATAACTTGCTTTAAAGACCATTAAGACCAGAGTCTGCCTCATTCGGGGCAAGAACGCATGAAAATTCCATGAGCAATGTAAAGCCAACTGTTAAACACTCAGGAACGCTACCAGTTTAGACTATGATCTTCATTCTTCGCATGATGTAAACATGCCAGAACCGGGTTTGACTTCACTCAGAATAAAACCAAAATATTATAAAAGACATGATTCAGCACTAGCGAAAAAACGTTTTATGCTGAAGTTGCAAACGGTCAACTACTTTTGTAAAGTCTGCTTTTAAAAACGAAACAAGTATAGAAATAGCTAGGTCTGTCCCTATAAATGAGAAATCTAGTGATTTGTTAACCAGGAGGAAATATCTTCAGAAGGTGCACTTTTGCATCCGGAGGCTGAAATGAACAAAATGCACTTCTTGGGATCTGAGTGTTTTATTTCTACCGGCGTTCTCATGTGTAGATTAACGATGGTATTACAAAATCTCCATCATATAATTTTATATGCAACTTTGATTTCAAGCAGAACTAGAACATTTTAATGCAACAGAGTTGTACGAAAATTGTGAAGTACTGTCAAAAACGTTTTGGGCATGGGGTAAAGGTTAATGCACTTAAGGTTTTCTCGTTATTTGTAACTGCGGTACATCAACCTCTTAAGCACTTACTATTTAGATCGGCCCTTTGAAATTCAAATAGTTCCTCATGCACACTGCTCACCAGATTCTATTGGGGCACTAGAAACCCTCGCCTAAAAAGCCCGAAAATTCACTTTTATGCTCTTTTTTGTAAAGCAGTCGTTGCTAGCATCACCGTGATTCAGATAGCCATTGACTGGTGGATTGAAAAACCGACAACACCGGATTCTCGGAGAGTGTTCAGTTGCAACAATTTTGCGCAGACCCAGCATGACGTGCCTTCACTAGAAGCAAAGAGCAACGACACGAAGAATTGGTCAGTGCACTCAGCTAAAGCAAATTCTTGGAACGTTCAAAACAATAGCTTGGAAAGTATATATTATGGATGTCTACTGGGGCTTGTTACTGTGCAGGCACTGTTTTTGAGCAATCCGTTCGAGGTAAGCCATAACAGATAAACACCATGTATTTTTTCAAAGTCCTATATTTCACTTTATGTAGAACGGTTCAGTGTAAATTGATCGCTTACTTGCGTAGGACAGCGATAAAAATGTCAAAAGAGTTGTAGTGCTAGCATTCGTTTAAATCGTCAGTTTTATAATCTGCAAAACTATTGGCTAAAGATACGTGGTTGATCAGGTTTACTTCATTCATGGTGACTTGCTGCCCGTTTGGTTTACGTTAAATGCCCATCAAGAGTTCAGTCATTGGTAGTAAAGAAATTAAAAGTGCGTGTGTCGGGTGTTCTGAGAACAAGAAAGACCAAACAGTGGTTCAATTCAATTGATTACAGGTAATTACGAGGCCCACTATAAGCAGTGACGTTCCGCATCATATTCCTATAATGAGACGTTCACGCTATGTGTAATCAAAGGATCTAAAATCTCCTGATCCATTCTTTAGCATAAAAGGTACTTTAAATTTCTGTAAATTAAGCACACACAACTTCTATGCTTCAGTGAATTATTGCCAATGATAAATTGAAGTATATATTGTATGCCAAGATTTTGCTTGACAGAATGTTCTAGAACCATATTCTTTCGTATGCGCGAGAAATAACGCAAATTGAGATGAAGGTAATACGAAGGAAGGACTAGTTCAAACGCATGGAACATTTAACCAGACGGTCAACGAAGACATATTTTGAACAGGATATCAGACAAATCGACAGGAATTTAATCATTTTGGAATAATACCATATTTGCGTGCGGGAAAAACGACAACCGTGAAACCCATTTTCAACATTGTAACTGGGAAGAGTCGATTCAGAGTATGGGGTTTTTCGTTTGAAAGTTGAGCAAAGTCTACTGCAAGTGGAAGACAGGCAACAGATGACTTATTAAATTAAATCTGACAAGAAATAAAAGTGGACATAAGGCCGTAGATGATGTTGCAATATACACTGATCACTAGTTATAGTTAACATTCTCCTACAGATCTGAAACTGGTGCCTACAAGGATAATGATCACAAGCAAGTTTAAACTGGGTATCAATTTGTGGTCATTAGATGTGGACAAAGTTTTCGAGATTCATTTTTATAAAATCCATACGAGTCAAGTTGATTACCTGCTCGAATACAGACCAGTCGAAAAAGAACCAGTTTTATAGGTCCACGCTAGGGAAAATATACAAAGGTCTACCAAACTGGCACTCTGAAGAACCACACTGCCCAGAATATTTATGAAAACTTCACAACAGCTCGCCATCAGTTTCACGCATTCTGGGAGACATCAGGTGGGCGCAGCCTGCGGCGGTTTTGTGAAACTAGTGGTACACTTGATTAATAAATTATACGCTATTCGCGAAATAGGATCAGCTGCCAGCCGAGTTTCATCAACAGGAATCTCACTTGGATACTTGCTGAAACCATTTTAGGTCATTGTTAACTAGAATGTAGGTCTGGCAGGATTATGGGAACTGCGTTCACTTGATGAGCCGCAAAAAGGTTGAAACTGTAGGTGGGATGTCAAAACGCTTTCACTAACCTTAGGGTAATGTTCAGTCAAGAACTGCGACATCTAGAATATCGGTCTCCATCCGGCACATAACAAAAGATCCATCCAAGCTTCAACGGAAACTAGCATAGTATGCAAACGAGGGTATGTGACTGAATACCAACCATTATGGGGTAGCAAACACAAAGGGCTCACAAACATTCATCGAGATTGGAAGCTTTGTGTTGTCTCAGCGATCTCAGTTATGATAACTCGGATAATTCCGATAACTTTGTTGGGAGGCTCCGCAAAAGAAAAATACAGTTTGCGGCCACGATTGTTCGAGTAAGTTGATGAGAACAAAAGTGCGGAGGGCCTAACTAAGATTGGTATGGCGCTAACAGTGAAGAAGACAGTGAGGAAGACAACAGGCAAGTTGTAATATACAATGAAATACCGAAACAGCATAGACTGTGCAGAAACTAAAATCCGGAAAAGTATGTTTAACTCCGGCGCATCGATAACTTGCATCAGTGTGAGTTCACAACACAATCGGAATCAGTCAAATGCTTTTGTTTTCATATTTACTGAAGGCTAATCCTGTTAAGTAACACAATCGGATTTTGGTATGAAACGTATACTGACGGGAATAGAGGAGACTTTTTAGTAGATCGACACGTATGATGAACCTAAGTGGCACTGTTCTATCTATGCCAGACATACAGAAAGCATCAGCTTAGAGATCTAGCAGGGTTAAAACAGCTATTATTTATTCGTTTATCGAATGTTTCACAAAAACTCAAAATTATGGTGATACTATAATCATTTTGCAGGAAAGTGTCACAGAAAGTTGTTTTAGCTGTACCCTAAATGGTTTCCAGCATATGAATTTCCCAAAAATGCCAGTACCGGTCTATTAGTTGTTTTGTTACGCTGTCCCTTTTTGGGACTCCACCTGAATAGTAAAAAGCTAGTTTTAAAAAGTATGAACCAAACAGGAGATAAACGTAACTTTATCTTGGAAGCACTTGACCCAAATATATCGACAAAAACTAACTAGTAGTCGCTTTGTGATGTTGAACCGGCCAAACGGCTCTACAGCTAAGGTTCCCAAGAAGTGTTCCATGCTATGCAACAATAAATGGCATGCCCTTAATTTTTTGGTAAATCCTACAAAGATTCTTTGCTTTTTTCTTCCAGGTAATCTCACCGACACCATTACTCTTTACATTTGGTTACGCGCACCTAATGTCAACCAATATCCTACGATTCCTGATGATCTCCTTCTGTCACAACTGTACTCTGATTACAGGTCATTCAAGTGAGTTCAGCCGGTTTAATGCAGATGTGGACTTTATGTTCTGGGTTAAATGTTCTTCAAAGTTTTACAGTCGAGGTACAGTATGAAGTGGAATTACGTCCTCATTGCTTGTTTATATGGCTGAATAGATAAGTCCTTGAAAACTGCATCCGTCAACACGAAAACAGTAGAACTCACATCCATAGGTTGGAGAATATGAGACATCCATCTGAGCCATTGGTTCGTTCGATGTACACTGAACTAAATATGTTGGATCATCTGGGCAAATTTGTCTCTAAACTGCTCATACTCTGTCCTGATTTTAACACATTGGAAAGATACTTGGGATGCATACTAACTTTCTTCTTACATGGGCCTCTTTGTAACCAAATAATGATGTGAAAAATATTTTGAGGAATACTATAACATAGTGTGTTTACCTTCTCATCCATTCACCACATTTCAGAGCTTACGTAGAGTAAGTCAAATCTGGAATGTTTTTGGCCAAGTGGTCGCCCTTGGTAACCAATGCATTTTTAAAAGATATGGTCATATCATATGCTGCCATTAGCGTTTCACTGTGCACTGCGGCTCTGCATATGTCATTACATACAGGTTCCACACTGGTTTGCTTGCGGTATCTGGACCTCACTCAAGAAACTCGACAGATGAAAAATTCGTTTGTTCCTTAAAAATGATATAGGTACTTGTTGAATCTGACAACAAGATCTACAAGCTTAACGATGATATCAACACAGTGGAATCTCTCCTGAAATTTAAATGATAGTTCAATCACACTGCGGAGTCGGTGGCTTCATTTGAAAGACCATTCACATCCATTTCTGCCCCAATGCCATCACTGGACGCATGCGGTTGTGCATTACGAACCGGTTGAAAGTCAAAAGCCACCAGTTGCACGCAGTGCCAATGCTAGGCTTGGGCTGACAGTATCTCTGCCCCAATGCCATCACTGGACGCATGCGGTTGTGCATTACGAACCGGTTGAAAGTCAAAAGCCACCAGTTGCACGCAGTGCCAATGCTAGGCTTGGGCAACCTGACAGTATCTAAAACCCCGTACTTATTTCGGGCTGCATGGCAGCGGAAGGACTAGAAGAATGATACAGCTAAACGGCTAATGGCTACTGCATACTTAATTCCCACAATTGACCCGTGAACAACTAACTCCCTATGCATAAAAGTTGAAAGAAGCATCTCGCGACACGTCTCATCATGAGTAACCTGGCTCCTTAATTAGCGTCTCCTTCTTGATGGGTATAAATACTCTACTCCTGGTTTCTCCTAGATTTGACAAAGTTTCGACTATGAGGTTTCATAATTCTCAGAAGATTTTTGAAATTCTCCCTCCACATTTTTGAAGTCGAAAAATGCCCACGTACCAGGTGTTTTAAAAGTGCATCTCCTTTCAGGCTGCAAACTTACAAAAACTCACAACAGTAAAAAAAAATATAGTCAAAAATCCTTTTTGTGCCGTTTTAGGAATTCCAAAATTTGAAATTGGGAAATGCGATGTATTTGAGAGAAAGATGTAAATAGTGGCTGGTTCCTCGGTTAAAACTCGCGTGAAATTGGCTCAATTTTCCACTCTTTGGACTTAAATGCATAAAATATAACGTAACTTTGTTTGCCAGTATCGAAAGACTTTGTTTTTTCTGAGCTGTCTGTCAAAACAAATAGTCATCAGGCGTTTTTTTTCTAATGAACGTTGTCATTCGAGTGGGTCAGGCAAATCCACATTCAAAAATGCACATTTGGCCATTGCAAAAAAGCATTCGTTTGATTGCATATGGAATATTTTATTAGCAAGTTTCAGACGTGAATAGAGAAAAAAGTACCTTGAGTTAAGAAACTGACGAGTAACCTTTACAGCCCAGTTTCAATTCGGAGTTTGTTCTGCCCTTTCTAAAATAAGTCGCAACCAGTGGTGTAGCTGGGTGTTCTAGTGGATTAGAAACAATCATTTGATTGGCTCTGCTTATTTCTGATCACGTATACCAAGCTAATCTATGTTTATACTGCATTTTAGATCAATCAAGGACTCCCGGCCTGTGGATTTTTCTGGACACATTAAACAAGCTCAGATATGTTTCTAGTTTCTTCTCTGCAAGTTACCATGTCATTGCACTCTGTAAGTTCCAGAACAAATTTGACAACAATTGTGGATGGGCCTGCTGCTAACAATTTTGAATAAATTACTCAAACTAGGCAAAAAAGGTTGAACACAAGTTTTTTTCCCGAATTAGTCACTATTTGAAAGAAAAAATAATATAACCATTTGAAATTTGTAACCCATTGTAAGCGGAGAACACTAGCCCTAAACGTTGGTAACAGCTAATCAGCTCATTATGATCGGTTCCAACATTGAAGATAATGCTGGTAGCGCAGTTTTTGGTTGAACTTCTCTTTGGATTCAGAATTTTTTTTGCATACGCTTCATTAGTTATTGAAGTACCACTCACAAGGCACTCTGTAGTGGTGGAGCATTGTAGCAGTCACACATTAACTGATATATCATCGGATCTGTCTTCAAATTCCTTATCGTTTTGTGGTTAAATCTTTAGTAGCTTTTGCTGGAATCCTGGTGGTTTCTGAATGTTCTTAACAGATATTGGATGCGCTGGCAGGGGACGTTCTCAGATCAAATCCATTGAAAGCGTAAGCGATATCGAATAACTAGAATAATTCTAGAATAATATTGGGCATATGCATCGCGCCTGCATTTCCAAGTGGGATGAAAGCGAAACCTTGCGCGTACAAATGGATCATTCTTTGCTAAATCAACTATTTTACTCCGTAATTTGCATATCTTTTGGGATCACTGCGAAAGACAAGTCACTTCCTGGACCAAAAAAGCCGGCATTTGATATTGATCTTGCCGGCTTTATGTCAATTCAAACTCAGGGTAAAATATAAACCAATGTCGCATGATGTGTCAAATAACTCTTCACCAGTAGATGATATGTTTGCCATCCATATTTCGCTCTGGCTGGTCTAAGTAAGTTAGAAGACTAGCAAAGACCTTTCGTTCAGCTTTGTGTAGGGTGGAAAAAGTGGATAGTTTATGATTTGACGAAGAAGAATTAAAGAGTTGTGTTGTGATAGGTGTGCCACATTGTTTGTCATATGACCTTTTGATTAGATTTTCATCTTACCGTGTAACGAATTATCGGAAAAGCACCTTCATGCCCAAAACCACCCATGCAGACATAAGAATTTTGTTTTTCCTGGAGAAGTTGGATAAATGCATGACCTATCTATGTTGGCTAGCATTACTTTACTGTACCCAGTATGTAAACTCTCTGCGGAGGATTAAGCCTCATCTATAGTGCACATTTATTTTTATCATTAAACCACAGGATCAAAAGGCGATTATCAGAAAACACCCACAGAATGGTACAGTTAAAACCGAATTACCAGTTCTGTGAACTTTATCGTATTACGTGCAAAAAATCACAGTATTTGTGCGTCCATAAAAATATTGTTGGCTGAACAACAAGCAAATTTTCTGTTAATTCTATGACTGCACAGGAAACGTCGGTTTACCCTGACTGTGATTACACAGGATAGGCTGTTCGCATGGGGCTCATAATTTAGACTGGTTGGCTAACTTACTGGTCCATGCTGATTGGCACTCATCTGCTGAACTGTGGTCGGTATGGTCAAATGTTCCTGCAATCTGATGGTCCACGGGTGTTATGTAATCTGCACAGACAGTATTTCTCTTGTTTAGACCGCCAGATACACCAGATACAACTATTCTGGCTGTCTAAGACTGATAGCCAAGCACTGTTCTCTTCGGCAGGATGGGCTTGCTAACCAAACGTTCACATGACAACGGTAAGAAGAAAAAGCATTTATGTCTAATTCTTTCACGTCCCGAATACATTTTTTTCATCGAGGTATACCCAATCAGTCAGTGGGGAATACTGCCTGAAGGTGGCACAACGAAGCGTCCAATCTACATCAGCCCACAAAGCATGTTTTCATTAGTCAAACTCAGGTTCTTTACCGTGGTGTCAAAAATAATAGCGGATTTTGTCTCCCAGATATAGCAGATGATTCAAACTTATCTTATTGCTATGCCCTGTTTCCAAAAAATGCAGGCTACCTCCATTTCTTGTGGAACGAAAAATTGACGAAAATCAACTGGTTCACACAGCAAAAGGAAGAGCTTCAACACAATTTCACTGTAGGACGGACTGTAACTGGAGAACGCCTTGACGAAATTCGGACAACCGATTCTAAACGGAGTTTCAAACCAACATCCAGGAGGTCGAAGCGCGGTAAATTTTTCTTGATTTCACGAGTTCACCTAGAACGGGTCACGCTCCACTGGACGGTCTGGTTGCTGGGCTCACTGCTAATTTTTACCACAGCCACCGTAATTATTGTACTGAACGTGAATATATCGTCTTATTCAACCCGAACTATCATATCCTTTTCATGGATTATTCTACTTACGTTTTGTTCCACAGTCATGGTGCAGTTAATTTTGTATAGATTATGGACCCTTAATTCTTCTGCTGCTCTGCAGGTTGCACAGAGTAGGTGTATTTGCCTGGATAAAAGTTTTTGGATGCCTTTGAATTCCGTTTGCTTCATAGGATCAGTAATCTTTCACACAACTCTGGTATACAATTCACTTAAGATGGCTGATTTAGGCCAGATTACCAAAGTTCTACAGCTTTTAAGCAGCATAATACAGTTATTTGAGATCTGCGGCCAGCTTTTGGTATGCTCCTTAACAAATTTTAACCAACTCCGAACAAAACTAATAAAATCTTATCAATATTTTGTATCTTTCATCAACATTTCTATAGTGGCTCTGTATGTTGATCAGTTTCTAGTTGAGCATCAAGTTTTCTCCGCTAACTATTGCCAAGAACAAGTAGTCTTTTCTGCTTACATTTTATTCAGAATCTTGATGTCGATAGCGGCTTGACTATCTGATACTATTGCGATCAGCTTTGAAATGATGTCTGTTTATTTTTTTGACTTTCAAGTATATATTTGAGGGAAATAAACGCTAAAATGTTTTTGTTTATTTATTATCAGTATTGCAAGTATAATTCTGAAGTGGGACAACGTTGAAGCTTATTTTTCTATTGCTCTAAACAAAGAAAAGGTACTGATTCTATCGTAAATTGTACGGGCAAAAAAGTACTTCTGGAAATTCAAAAACCGAGAGCTAGAAAGGGAATACTGAAACATTCAGAGGTGTAGTGTTGTTAAAGAATGTAACAGAGTGATTTAGTAGAAGCATGAACACAAGCAGTTGCAGACATCATATAGACAAATATGTTTGGGCAGTAATGTTGGTCATGGTCATGGGTTTGGTATAGACCTCGTTAACGAATAAAGATAATAGGATTTTAGGACACTCGGGGAGATTTGTTATTCCTGTTTACTCGTGAAAATACTAAAAATTGTTAGTTGGTGTTTGGGCATCATCTTATCGGAAATTTTCTCTCCCACTTCTCCTGAAGAAATAAGCCGTAACGGATGAGGGCAGTCTAGAAAATGGCGTCCTAGAAAGGATGCATTCTCAAAACAAAATGAGTGGCTTGCATTCAAAGCGGATTCCATGCTGTACGCCACCGGACTTTTGTATAAGGCCGAAGCCATCAATTTAGACGGTGAATGAACTGGTTAGACCAACGACCAACAGATAAAGGCGTTAAGTGTTTCTGTGAAGACTACGAAAATTCAAGTTTCATATAAAGATTTACATGCGCTGAAGATTTAAATAAGGGCGAAATTTTCCATGATCACTCATAAGTCGAAGGAGTATGAAGGGAAAGAACCGAAAGAAATATTCTGGAATGTTATCTGATTGACATTCACCAAGAGTGCGGTTAATGTGGCTTTACAAGAGCGAGTAATTTATCAACAGATGATGTATTATTATTAGTATTATTAATACATAGCTATTCAAAGTAGGCAGCAGACTATTGGGGACTGCCTTGAATACTGATCGGTCCGTTTTTCCGAAAGAATCTCTTGTTGCTGAAATGTAATCAAATCATTTAGGAAAACCACGAATAATCACGAATAAGTAAACTTGTTGGAGGTCCTCTGGGATATCAAGATTTTATGTTAACTATGGTGGATCAGTGGCGAATATTTTGGGGATAGAATATATATCGCATGCAAGTGATGCCAATTAAAAAAACTGCGACAGAACAGCACGATTATTAAGCGACATGTATTCTGCATGCATATTTGTAGCTTTTTACATCATCATATTTTGTTTCAAAAAAGGTTGAAAGTGAAACTTTTCCAAGGGTTGCCAGACAGCTGTACAGCTAACGCGTGAAACGTGGTGACATGCTGGTGGGCGTCAGCATTAGTTTGTAGCGTCTTGCGATTTACCTACGCTTCTATACTGTATTACCAATCACTCGTACCGAAAACCGCCCAATAAAATTGATTCCATTCCATTGACCCTATATGCCCTCATACTGTCATCCGTTAGGTGACCATTGTTACAGTAGAATACTGATTAAATTATAGAAATAATACTGCTGATCAAAATTTATTCTCATGCGGTTTTTGTTTTTGGAAGAAATTTGCCCACAGGACCGGTAACTGGAAACTTCTTGACACGGCAATCAGTTGTCGTCTTTCGCCTGCCGATCCCGATCAAACGATTTTGGGATCACCTCACAGAATGTGCTTTAATTCCGTAATGTTCAGCCTACCAGTGGAAAATTTTACATTGAAAACTGAACATACGATTTTGTTCACCGATACGTTTGACGCACGAATTGTCAATTACGTTGTTGGCTCGCTCAATAGTAACCATCTCTGAGGGAGACGGGTCGTCAGGACCTACCACCCTCACCTTTTCCGCGAAGTGTCAATTCACTGGCAATTCATGTTTTTGAAAAGGCCGCTCGAAACGAAGAAAAACGCTGGTTATTTACCGCCTTTATTTTTATCACCATCCACGACATGAAATGTGGCACAAAAATAGAGTCGATATTGGTACTTCATCCGCATAATTTATCCAAAAGCTTTGTTGTGAATGAATGTAACTTGACAGAAGTTTTTCCACCTAATGTTAGCGCAATACAAGTGGTTCGAGGAGACCAATGTGAGCGATCACTGTGCTAGTGAAAGAGGAGAATGTCTCAGATATCGATTAGCAATCCTATTTTGCAGCGTGGAAAGAAGTATGGAAACCATACCATAGAAGGCAGACTACATCAGCAGTATCAAGGCTTTGTTAATTGCATTCTTACTTCTCTTTCACATCAGAAGGTAACCGTCACTTTGTTTTTGACTCCAAATAACTGCCCAACTCAGGAGACTAGGAGTATTTGCTCAAAACAAATGGTCAAACTATTGCGATATCTGGTGATGCGCACATTATTTCGCTCAGTCTTCTACTGATGTGAAAAAAATAACAGGCTATTTGATTAGTTTAATAAGGAAATTGGATGCGACAGCACAACATTCACTACTAGTGAAAGGAAGAAGACCTTCGCTGTGTGGTTGTTTACTGCCCTCACTACTACCAGGTTTGTGTGCTTTCCAAGCGTGACTGATCACTAAAAGTTACTTTTGTTGTACCAAACATGCGGCACACTCTGGAACATTTGATTTAAATTTCTTACATTTTCGCCTCTAAGAAAACCTGGCTGATGGGTTTTTTTTGGGGGGGGGTAGCATCTTACAGATGCTGTAGGAATCGTCTTACTGTCACATAAACTTGTGTTATACGTTATTTCATGTCGTAGAATTAAGTTATTGATGAGAAATTTAATTAACGGAAACACTTGAATGAATAATATGAGCGAAGTTATAAGATATCCTTTAATCGATGTTTTTTCCTTGTTACAAAACACGGAACGACAATATCATTCCACTCTTTATGGTGTACTGTATATCTCACGCATATCAAACTTTTCCCGACCCCCAGTTCAGTCATAGAGCTACTCGCTGTGAAGAAAACCTTTAGCCAATTAATCTACATTCTCTCTGTGTTAGTTTGCTTTCATGACATTTATTGAATAAGCAGCGATTTACTGTGGCCAAATTGCCTCGTCACTCGATTTTGTGCGCATCAGTTGAGTACCAGTCGCCATACCATGACTGCAAGCCAGCTATCGCAGGGTTAAGGATTAATTATAAATGCCGATAAAAAATAATGGGACGTACCCATCCAGTAGGTACGATATATCACGAATTTGAATTAGCGGCGCTTTCTGATTTCATTAAGTCCGTTGAATTTCTTGGAAGCAAATTCCAGTTTGTCATGCAAATGCAGCTACTTACCGTCTGTGAGTAGCCTGTGAAAAACATCTAACCGATTATAAAAGGGTCTCGATAAAAAACGCGAGGCCTACTGAGTTTAAGCGTGATGCGTAACTGCGACGCATCCGTACATACGTGGAGAATCTGGAAATTATTTTTTACACCCTTCACGTTTAGGAGCATGTCATATTTGCGGTCGTATACCTTCTGTGAATGTTTTCTAACATTTAAGAGCCAGTGAACTACACAATACCCAACATCACGATCTGTGCAGTAGTATACGCAAGAGGTATATTTACACACTTTTTATTACACAGGAAATGTATATAAAATTCCAATGGTACAGAATGATCTCTTCCTCAATGTACTTGGAAATGATTTCAACGTTTACGCTTCAATTAGGTCAGGGCATTTGCATTTCTTTAAGGCTCATCGCTAATTTGCTACCGTAAAAACCAAGAAAGAACCAGAGGATAAACTGATGTAGGGTAAGCACCTACAGACGCGTGGAAAGAAACTGCAACCAACGTTTGTGTCCAGAGTAAACATATAAGCCAAACTAGCAGCTTTTGAAAAAACGAAAACTTTGGTTGGACATGTGATCTCTGTGTCCATATCGCAAAAACGGGTATATTAAGCTCAGTTTTGTGGACAAGTTGTTTACCTGGAAGTAAGTGTATGCGCGGATAACGTGCTCAGTCAGTTGATTCTACTGGAAAACCGCTCCTGTTATATTGCCCATTGGTAGCACTTTTTAAAGATCGAAATTTGATACAAATAGGCATGATTCGCAGAACATCTTACCTACAATTTCATACAGAGATGAATTCGGAGGGCTACATTGCCAAAAATCGTCCAACAAATAAGATGACGATGGGAAATATGTGACGGCTTTAAGAATCCTGAAGACGTTTTGGCAGCCAACCGAATGTAAGAAGACAGAAATGTACCAACATATAGACTACAAAATGATTTTGTCACATGTGGCATACAATAAACAACTATTTCTGAAAAAAACGTCCTTTTTAGAATATACCGACCATAACTGATCCAAAAAACCTCTTTCCTCCTTAGGAGAGAGAAAACATAAAAATCTTCCTTGTAGTCAGTAAATTTAGATGGTTCCCCAGGTAATCACCAACACGTGTTCTCTCCTCTTTTACAATTTCAGACGGATTGTATTCCTTCTGAAGAAATGAATGAAAGCGTACACCAGGTTTTCCCCAGATCCATCCCAGCACATCATAGGATCAATAATTTATTTATTCTATTGAAGTATATTTAAACGGGATATTTTAAGGGAAGCAGATGAAACCTAAAAAAGTTGAGTAAACTGTTCCATATCTCTATACCAAATTTCAGTAAATCCTCAAAAGTATATACGATTCACACTGCGTTATTGGTTTGAAAATACCTTCAGTAAGAATTGATGGACTACATAATTTAGGGATGCTTGTCCTTTATGACATAAGGGTGAGTACTTCGAATGGGATGAGGAAAATAATATGTAATTCTATTTTATAGTATGATGAAGAGGTAAATAGAAATCCTTGGCCTACCCTTAGGCTAAGCCCCTTGTCCGCAATGTCACAACGGTAAAAACGCTAACAATACTGTCTCATCTAGTCGGGATCATAGTGCAACATACAAAACTCACATTGCGCTTAAAGGCATGAAAGTGCCACTACTA